ACAATGATGAGGAAATTGTGCAGAATTTGGAGATGAATATTGGATATAGAGACCCATTTTGCAATTTTTTGGGCCAAAAACAACTTTTAAAGCTGTAAAAAGAAAAGAAAACAACGATAACCAGAGGAGGCGAACAGGGAGAGCTCATTTCCTGACGGGTATAGAACAGGCCTTCGAAGAATAAAAGCAAAGGACCATGCCAACTTTACAAGATGAGTAACAAACTAACACGAGCTGAGACATGTCATGGGGCCATCTGACCACTCTCACACACACACACAACAAACATATAAACTCACTGTACACTGTCATATTAAACAGGCAGCGTGTTTGGAGGCGTGAGCAGGGCATGCTGCCTGAAGAATGTGTCCACTAAATAGCACTTACACTCGCATATATCAGCCTTACATGCAGGGGCTTGCTGTTGCACATCTTCCAACACCGTACACAACACAGACTAAAACTCGTACCCTCCAGGGAAGTGTTTTGAGCCGGATGACGTGCAATGAAATGACAGTCATTGACAAGCTGCACTTCCACAGACTTACACATTACTTGCTGGTAAAGCTGGTTCAACTTCCACAGCAGTTTGAGCCTTCTGTGTATAAAATCGGGCTTGTGTGTGTGTGTGTGTGTGCGTTTGGCCCTGCGTGTTCTCACTCTGGTAATGTGGTACAATGGGGAGTTTTTGAGAAGAGGTGAGTCACGCATAAGGAAGCAGTCAACAACCCGCTCACACTTTTAAAAGAGCTGCAATTCCTCCTCTTCCCCACAAGCATGCTGTGCAAGTCTCACTCCAATACTACATATGATAATGAGAAAATTACTGAACAGCATGACAACCTACATCCCAGAACATGGCTGAGCGTACGATCAAAAGCAGGCGAGCACAAACGAGCGGTACTGCAACGCAGCCTCGCCACAAATGTGCTGCAGCCAAATCCTCTTATGGACCTCAAAATGCAGCCCGAGAGAGAGAATGCATGAATGGGTCTTGCTATTTTTTCTGGGATTAAAATGCAACGAGAGATCAGGGATTTGGCACTGAATGAACAAGGCCTTTCATTCAGTGGTTTCCTTTCTTCAGGATAAACTCCTGTGCATGCACGGTGAGCTTCACGGTGAGCTTCGCATGGGAGGAAAACTACTGTACAGAATGCATCTGTAAATCATTCAGTCAATCTGTGCATTCGTCCATCCACCCACCCATCTGTTGGCCCACTTGTCTGTTCAAACCTGGGCCAGTGAAATGACCCACAACCCAAATATCTCTCCCTCGTGTGAATATATCAAATCATAGCCTTTAGATTATATGAAAATGTTATATCAAAAATTGGATAGAAAATATGAATATTGTGACAAGGGCACTTAAGAGTAATAAAATCTGAGTAAGAGAAGAAGTGCTTTTATGCTAAAATAAGAACAAAAGATATCTCCTCATAAGAAACTTCATTTGAGCTGGAAGTGACTCTGAAAACCATAATTCCTTGCATATGACATTGTATTAAACATGTCACACAAATTAGAACTGCCGGCAGTGAGACAGATCTGTGAACTTGCTGTGTAACTACTGGATAAAGGGCTGAAATGAATTCTTCTCATTGTTGTTTAATCTGACAAATAATTTCTTGATTAATCTGTTAATCACCTGGCCAATTAAATGTCAAAAAATGCTGAAAAACTCTTGAGGGCAAATGCCTTGTTTTGTGTGATCAACAGCCCACAACTCAAAGCTGATGAATTTACAGTGCTTCAAAACAACAAATGTTCATATTAAAGTAGCAGGAACCAGTGAATGATTGACATTTCAGCTTGAAAAATGCAGTGCAGTTATCAAGACACAATAGAGGGCCAGGCCCTTTATAGCTTTTTACAAGAGCTACATTCAAAGGTAGGGTGGCATCCTAACAAAAGGTCAGTTTATGAATCTGAATTAGATGAGAGATCAGTAGGTGGTGGGGATGCAGCATGATCATAAAAAAGTTGTGTGAGGTTTTTGTGAATGACTCCCGACATAACTATGGGTTTATTCTGTAGCCTATATGTGTAAATGAAGCGAATTAGCAACGACTAGCCTTTATATTTTATGACTTCTGTTTGAGGATTTCCAATAAGAAGTGTTTTATTTTGAACTTCGAAGTGAAAACTGGGGAAAACGATGAGGCAAGGCAAGCCTGTGAAGCAGAGATAAAGAGCGCTCACATTGTATTAACTGGAGAAAGAGTGCCTCTGACATACTGCTCTCCAGCATGCAACATTAACTTCAGCATGTGGCATCCTCACCTCTTTGTAGGAGGACATGATCCTCTCGATGGCGTCGGCTCCTGAGGCCAAGAGGTTCCGGGCGGTGGTGAAAGCCTCTGTCCTCTCGCTCACCATCACGTGCGTATGCCCGTCTGCTGTTTCTAGAGGGCGAAACGAAAGACAAAAGACAGGGGAGAGGCCAACTGAGTTAAAAAAACATGCAGACATGTTTATTTAAGCAACAACTTTCCTTTTGGCTTTTGTTATCTGACTCAAAGTCTGCGTATCTGTCTTGTGAGTCTGCTGTCAACACATTCCCAGAGTTGTACCTGCGAGCATTAGGATGAAATGGAAATAAGTTATTTAAATATCAACAGGGACACTGGAGCAGTAGCACAGTAGTAGAGTTGATCAGCAAACAAAGGGACTTTGTTCACAGCTTTTGATGCAAGTGAAATGTCATCAGGGAGATGTGGGAGGCAGCTACCGTTTTCACACGTGCTAATCAGCACCTGCTTGAGAAGGAAGCAGACGCTGTTGTTTTGGAGATGCTAATGATCCGTGTGTGCAGTGTGAAAGGGGTTCAACCTCAGAATGAAACACAACTGTTACAGGGGCATTTAAAAAAGGTTTACTACACGCCAGATACTCTCAGATACAATCAAACCAACTACTGTTCCAAGGGACAAAACTGAAAAAGAAAGCTCACACAGCCTAACACATGTTTAACTCAGAGTTTCCAAAGACAAAAAAAAAAAAAGGTTTTGGGGCAACCTTGAGGCCTCCATACCGTTGTCAGCGAAGCCCGTGGCCGTGATGATCGGCACGGCCACCATGACGAGCCCGCAGCTGCTCCACACGTACTTCATGAGGAACTGCTCGATCATGATATACCAGAGACGCTTGGACAGGATCAGGTTCATCTGGTCCGCCAGGGCCCGGTAGCACTTCTGCAGCTGACGCATCTCCACCTGCAGGGGAAAGTCAATTACAATGCATACAAGCACAGGCGCTTCCTGTATCTCTGTGAGGAACATGCACATGTTAGGACACTATATAAACTTGTTTATATAGTTATACAGTTATTGGATGTGGTTAATCAAGATGATCTAAGATGTCTCATAGTGATTGTAGTGGATTTTACCTGTAGAAATGCCACAGTGGGAACTGACAAATGTTTAAACTTGAATGACTTTTAAAGTTATGATGGACATTCAGATTAAGTAACACTGAGAAACACTGTAGCACACGCTCTATTAATGATCTATTAATGTGCATGTACTTGATCAGCACAGTGTTGTAATATTGCTGCATGCCTGCCACAGTAAATGCAATACTCTCTATAGTCTCCATATGGCCTCATCCAGCTCCACATACCTTGTGGCCCCTGTAGAAAGCTATCTCCTCAGCATTGGCGATGATCCGGGAGTGCACATAGCGCAGGTAGCCTTTCCTATGAGCCTCCTCGGCCACCAGCTTGCCAAATTTGGGCGAGCAGGCACGCAGGACCTTAGCCGTGACAAAGACCACCAGCCCGGCCAGCAGGGTCGGCCCGGAGGCGTTGGCCCCCCTGGATCTGGCGGTCTGTATCAGCGTGTAGGAGGTCAGCACCACGTCCAGGATGGGCTTGGTGAGGTTAGAGTAGAGGTGGGCGACCGACTGGGAAAACATCATCACGTCCTCGGTCAGAGACTGGTCCGGGTTGGCGAGCCTCCCGTCCATGTTGCTGACTCTGTAGTAGGTCTGGTCGGTGAAGTAGGTCCGGTAGGCATGGTTCACCAGCCGGGTGCGGAAGGCCAGAGCCAGTTTGCACTCCAGGTACCGGATGGCGCTGTTGACGAACGTGGCCGGGATGGCGATGAGGAGCCATTTGATGAGCTGGATAATGAAGCTCTTGGGTTTCTTCTCCACGATCGTTTTCACAATCTTGCCGTCCAAGCTGGCCACATAAATAGACAGAAACGTCCTGGATATCAGCGCCACGGAGTGCAGGGAGAGCAGCCCGAGCTCCCTGGACACAAGCTTCGGGAAGAGGATTTTACCAAGTTCGAGGATCTGCTTGAAAAACTCTGCGTTTACCCCCGGGGATGCCTTCTTCTGATCCGCAGCATCTATCCGCGTCTTTACCAAACAAGTGGAGCCGTTCTCCGCCTTTGAAACTCGCCGATTATTCCTGGGATCTCTGTTTTTGCCCAGCTGCCTGCAGATGATGGGGTACAGTGTTTTGACACCGTAAGCAGCCGCCGCAAGAAACACGGCTCGCTTGGCCGCAGCCGTGCGGTCCCATTTCACTTTGGACGCCGCATCGAGGATGTTGGACATTTTTTCAAACGTTAGTCGTCTCTGCTGACAATCCTTACAACACCCATCCCCCAAACCCGACTCACGGCGTCGATACAAAGACAGAGAAGGACTTCTGATGATTGGATTGAGGTGAAGCGAGCCCGATACATGTACCGCTACATCCTGCTCTTTCCAGTACCAGTGAGTCAAGCACGACGCACTACATTCATTCTACTTCCGGCTGTGGCTGTCAAAATAAAAGCTCAAGGTCAACTCCCCCTGCACCACCGGGATATGCAGCCTGAACCGTTTCCTCGAGTTTGTGGTTTTATTTTTTAAAGTAAATTCGCCCAACTTCCGGTCGTTGGACGTTTCCGCTTTCCGCTAACTTGACGCAGCTTATTTCCGCCCTACGCTTTTCGCAGGGGCTGTTTTCATTGGTTGCGCCCCCGGCGATTTGACGACTGGTTGCGTCACGACGTAACAAACGAGTCCCAAACGGCGCCGGTTACTGTAACGTACAGTCGGTGTCTTCTTCCTTGTAGTGAGGGGTTAGTCAGAAAGATGTCACACAGTACTCAGGTATCCAGGGCAGTAAGTTGCTGGAATCCACATTAACCACTGACAGCGTATATACAAACGCTTAAACTGCATTAATACACGTTTATGAACAACTCTCGAGTGGGACGTGAAAGGAGAGGGGTTGTTCCTCGCGTATCTCTAAACATTTTTGAAGCAACTTTAACTAGTTAATTCACGTTAGTTCACGTTGGCAAATGTACCAATGCACTCTAAACGTTTCACACTCACGTTAGCTACAGCTGTGTTATTTTCCCTGTGACAGTCGTTGAACATGAATTGGGTTGGGGGTTCACGGTAAGAGAATTGAAGTGCTAATATTAAGCCTTTAAACGTTAGCTAAACTAGGTGATTAACGTTTTAACGACTCCCGTTGCAGGAACCGGCTAGTGATGAAGAATGATGCAAAAAGGCAGAGAGTGAGACACCTAAATACGACTTAATAGCTATAATAGATGTAGCCTTAGTTGAATACGTCCAGCTAAATGTTCTGGTGTTGCTTTTTTTCCCCCCAGGAGTTCTTTGAAAAGAGGAAAATTCAGCAGAGATTGAAGAACTTGGGAGTCGCTGTGCCAGCATCCCCTCAGAGCAGTAGTGCTGGTAGTATGGACCTGGTGACTCTGTTCATAGTCAACCAGATTGCTGCTAAGAAAGAAAATAAAGGTGAGAAATAACAGCTGGTATTGACATATCCCAAGCCAGCAGTTATGGTTACCAAAAACCGATCAGAAGACGCTGAATGAAAGTCTGAAAGTCCCATATTAACATGAACACTCTATATGGTAAATGATGTAAATAAACAATGTTTGTGTTTTTCAGATCCTCCTAAAGTGGCCGTTCTTGGCAGCTATAAAGGAGGATCGAAGCATAAGAGAAATGAGCCCCTGGTACTTCCCATGAGCCCCTGCTCTCCATCACAGCTGAGTTTTGTTGAGAGCCAAACTCAAAACAGGTAGAGCTGGAGTGTTGTTTGTCAAAAGGCGCCTATAGTCACAATCAGACTATTGATCACATACTCCAAACTGCCTCCTTAACATGGTATTCAAGTGAACCTCTGGCCCAGTCAGTGATTTTTGGCTATATAAAGTCAGTGAATACCTTTTTAATCGAACATCTTCCGACATTGACTGTGTCTATTCTGTGTCAATGTCTAGTCTTCAAGCGACAAGAAAGAGAAAGCACGTTATTCCACACGGGTTCAAGTGCCGGCAGGTTGGTCACAGCCATCCATATTGTACTTTTTAAACCATTTCTTATCTTTGAACATGAACAAACGTCAGGACCTTCTGGCTAAAAAGTCACTTTCTTCTCTGTCCTCTAGCTGTCACCAGTGCCGGAGTCAGGTTTCTCAGACAACAGTGCATCTGACTACCTGCCACCCATAACCGACCCCCTCAGCCCATTCTCCTCCACCTCATCAGCTTCCTCAGGTGTTGTGAAGAATTTTATAGAACAAACTCTCATAAATTAATTTACACGATGGTAACTGTGCATTTTATAGTTTTTGTATGTGTGTTTTTGTACAATCCGCCAATTTAGGCCAAATCAAACTGGTCTCCTCAGGATTGTTCCCCCTACAGCTGAATCTCCAGCAGAGAAGCCAGACACAGGCAGAGCTACCTCCCCACTGCTCCCCTCTACCCTGGGACACCTCGGGGCTGGAGCTGACTAAGGAGGTGAAAACAGAATTATTTTTAAAGATATATCTCACATTCATATGATCACATAATGTCATGGTTACAGTTGCAGTTATTACACAGGCACAAGCTTCATCGGCCTCTGTCGGACAGGTGCCTACTATGTGAACAAATCTACAGCGGTCAAACAGTGTGGATAGTTTCGTCTGATTCATGGGAATCTGACCAAATCCAACCCAGTGGCAGGCATTAATAAAAATAGCTCTTCTCACTGATCTGAACTGACGGTTTGTTTATGTATGTCATATAGCGGCATCAGTATTTTATGATTTTTAAACCAGTTAAAAACTCCTTCTAGTGAGTTTAATGCAACAGAAGTGTGGATTTGTAACATTTGTTTTATCTTTCTTTATCTAATCTACTCAGAAGTAGCGTTTTAGACAGACCGACAGCAAATATCGCTAACTGTGAATTCCTGTGGAGAGTTAAACATTAAAACATGACAGAGTGTTTCCAAATATGATGCTACACTAATATTTTATTTGCATTTATTTTGCTAGTATCAGCCTTTCTCCCAGCCCAGAGGTATGACAGACAGTATCCCCTGGTCCTGTGGATCAAACCTACCCTTCTACCAACTGGAGACACCCACTGCAGCCCGAGTCCTGTTTAGAAGTCCAGAGCCAGAGTGAGAACACTAGAATCTAAAGGATTGCTCTCTGCCCTTGAATTAACTGATCATCTTTTAACCTCTTGAAGCATATGTGTGTTATCACAGTAACACAGAGGCCAGGGACCATGAAAGATACGACCTCACCTTCTCTCTCAACCCACCAGACGACAGGCAGCACATGTTGAACTTCACTCTCAACCAATCAGAAACTGAGCAGCAGATCGAGGGAGCAGACGTCTTTAGGGGCTTCAGCACTGAGGAATGTGAAAGAGAAGGTTAATACCCTTAATAACAATAACATTTGCAAAACCACAAGGACTTTCCCCCTCAAGTTAACATTACATTTGATTTCAGCCACTCCTTTTGGAAGAGGAAAATCAAAGATCTATCTCAAAGATGAAACACCAGTCAAATCTTCAAGACCACAGTAGGCATTTATACACAACACACAACATATAATTAAACACTTTGTTATGATTGATATGTAATATGCCTTGTTTTTATGTTGGATTTTCTTTCTTTGCTGTCAGAACTTTCCCTGACTCACCAGGTTTGGGACTGAAGGTAAGTTACCACATGTGAGTCTAAAGTTAGCCTTTTATTGCCACCGAGTGGCAGAGTTTGTAACTGCGTGCTAACGTTGTATTTAAAGAAACAATAGACATAAGCATTAAATGGATGATTAAGAAAATGTAACCTTGTTCCCCAATCATTGTTCAGAGCTTCTAACAGTATTTGTTCATTTATCCTGATAGAGGCGTATAAAAGGGTACAGTGCACTCTGGGGTGGCTCTAGAGAAATATTCATGGGGTGGCCAGAGGGTGGCATGGAGATGTTAGGGGGTGGCAAAAATATATGCTGATGTAATTTCTAACAGTCACACATATCGATATTTGCTTGGAAAATCCGACAAATAAAAATATTTAAACTCCAAAACATTACATTACTGTGGCACATTAGTAAAGCAAGTAATAGGTAATTTGTTAAATTTGACAGCATTTGACATCAAACTTGGGTGGCAGGTGGGGTGGCAAGGCCTTTTTTTGTCACCACTCTAGATCCGCCCCTGGGTGCACTTGATGTGGGCAGTTGCAGTTTTACATGTTAATTCTGTTTTATTCACAGCTCTCCAACTGCACTGACATGAACTTTTGTAAGTGTCTTAAGCATCTCCAATTAAGCTTCCCGCGTATTGTGTATAAGTTGGAGAAAGGACAATAAATTCAATAGATGCTTCTTTTTTTTTCAATCCCACAGCATGTCTCGAACACAACAATGGCCCCATGAATGGTTGTGACTATTCGCCAAGTTACTCTTGTAGAGGGGGTTACCTCAGTTCAGATGATGTAAGTCAAGTTACACCCAGAACTTGTGTCCATGTTGCTGTCGTACAGTGACTGCGGAATCACCTCAAAATAGCCACTTTTTATGAACACATTATCCTTATTGATCATTATTGAACCTCACCCTGAATTTTAAGATAGTTTGATATCCAACACATTAGCAACCATAGTTCTATTTAGCAGTTTATAACATAGCTACTATTCTCTCACCCTTTCTAACTAACTGTATTTCTAACTGTATTTTAGGAAGAAGAAAGCTGTGAGCCATGTCTCCAGGCTGCCTCTTTATATATAAACCAAACCTGTTGTTCAGATAGCCTAAACCAAAACTTGGGCTCACACGGGAATACAAAACAAAGGCACACTCAACCCAGGCCCTTGTCCCTGCTCCTAAAACCAAAAACAAACTTCAGAGATGATCAGATTATGGAGAATGTGGCTCATCCAGATAAAGCCTTAGGAAGTAATGGCCAACAGATGGAAAGCAACACAGCTCAGTTAGATTTTCCTCTGGCTCAAACTCAGAGCCCAGAGCCGTGCAAATGCAAGAAAACATCCAGCGAAACTCGAGATGCGGGAACTCAAACTGTCGACCCTGCGGCTGAGATGTGTGACGCATCGACTCAGTGCAGCTTTGTTGCAGACAGCGCGACCAGAACCACTGAGTTCAACTTGTGCCTGCCACCTGTTGATGTGTCAGTACAGCATCCAGCCACAGGGGGGCAGACTGATACTGCCGCAGAGCTAAATACACACACACCTTCATCCAGCCAGGCCAGGAGTGGAGGGAGGCACACGCCCTGGAGCAAGAACAAATCCAAGGCTGGTTCCCTATCAGGCAGCGGTATTATAAATGAACTCACCGCTGACAACAGAGATGGCAAAGTGATCCTACAGAGACCCATAACCCCTTTTCTAGACGCTCTGAGCATGACCAACGGCAGAGGTATAACAGGAATATGAAAGATTGTTTTTAATTAATTAATGTGCAAATTGAGGAACTTATAATTCATATTTACAAATTTAAACTCTGCACCGACAAAGACAAGATATATGCATGGGAATCTTGTTGAATAACCATGTTCTGCTCTTGTTTCTGATTGGAGAGGGTAGAGATGAGAGAGGGCAACAAGAAAATGGCCGTCTGATGAAAGACCTCTCCAACGAAGTGAGGGAGGAGGTCACATCTGCCACCAGAGTTAACAGACTCTCACAAGAGGCTGAGACACTTCAGGAAATAGCTGACATTTTGCTCCTGCTCAAACAAAGGGAGAAGTAGGGAGAAGTAGGGAGAAGTAGGGATGGTAAGGAAGGAAGGAAGGAAGGAAGGGAGATGGATAAAGGCAGCAGGAAATATGAAAACATACCTGTTCTGTGTGTGTTTTCAAATTCAAAGCATTTAATAGTTTGTTTTTAAGCATATATAAACCACATAAAATAAGCATAGTGTTTGTTCAAAGTGTTATGAAATAAAGCCCCAAAGCTTTACTCTGATTCATAAGTTTATTTCTTTCGCCATATACATATTCAAGTGTTAAGATTTCATGAAGATATTTATTTTTTATAGAATATAAACTCTAGCAAAACATTTACAGCTTGAACATTAATCAAATATACTATACAGCACTCTTTTTTTTTTTCATTCGTATTTTTGTAATTCCTCATAAACTGTAGAAACACATGTAGCTGGTTCACATTGAAAAAAATTGCAACCATTTCACCATAAGTACACATTAAACGTCCCTGTGTGGCAGAGGACGGTGTTAACACGAGTGGATGTTAACGGCTGAACGCCACATGATCTTTGACGAGGTGCAGCCTCAAACAATCACGCTAAATATTTGGTCAACACAAGTTTCATTACACAGTCTGTGTTATGGAGCTTCGTCTGTGTGTGTACTGGTGATAATACTTTTGAGTACAAAACTAGTTTTTGTGGTTTCAAGACCATCCTGGACCAAATGGAAATCTAACAGATAAAACAATACCTTCACATTTTGAATTAAAGTCAAGCTGTTTTTCTCCACCTTTAAACTAGTATCCCGTTGGATGAAAAGGTTAATCTATTTTTAGGAAGTTGAAGGACAGAGTTTTTACTTTTAACCCAACAACAATTCAGAATGTAGAAAACTGGTTTCCAAAAATGACGCAGTCTGTCGGATTCACCACACAGGAGATTCTGCATGTTTTAGTCCCATGATTACAAATCATTCATGCTTTACTTTGTTGCTGATCATTTTCACACGTATTTGTGATTTTGTGCTGCGTTATTTTAGATTTTCACAATCATTTGGTACCTATTTCAAGCAAGGTTAAAGTCTGTGCAAGTTGATTTTCATTTCTTATTGACATGAATGGAAACCATTATTCTGATTAACCATTTCCACAGGTATCCATGTGTAAATGTGACAGCTTGACAATACCAAAAATATCACAATACTTGATGCAAATACTTTATTCAACTTTGACTAGTCACTGAAAATGTCAATACATTGTGTGGCATGGCATTTGATGAACAGCTTCTTATTTGAAAGGTGTATTAAAAAGAGGTATTGTATCTTATTAACTCATGACGGGTTAGGACCCACGTGCCAAAAACTTACGGACAGTCCTGCACTTGGCACTGTCTGCCACGAGGAACCTGTTCATCGCACACAGTAACAGCGCAGCTTGTTAACGCCTTTTTTACCTGTTTTGTTTTGTTACACAAAGTTACTCCGTAGTCTACTTTTAAACAGTTTTTGCTACACAGAAACCTATGTGTATTTGACTAACAAGGTGTAACCTCACACAGTTTTACAATTTTTTACAAAACAACACTGGCAAATTACGCTAAAGCCTACTCCTCGACTTTTGACACAAGAACCACATAAATGATATGCTCTGCTATTTGTACATAAGGCTATGGAGGAAGACGAAAATCATAACACATGAAATGATAGTAAAAAATATAGTATTCCATCACAGGTGAAATGCAAATATGTACATGTCAAATAAAAAAAAAAGCTATGTAGACCTAATTATAACATGGTATAATACATCCACTTCAGGGTTTTGGACTTAAAATCGGCCTTTAGGCAGCTTCACAATACACAGGCACTAATATTATCATGTTAAAGATAGAATGAAAATACTTAAAATACAATGGTTTTAGTCTACCACTTTCTTTGCTGGACATTATAATATCCAGCAATAACAATCAGCAATGACATACGTAGCTTTATAACGTGCAGTGTAGTGACAGAATGACATAAGACTGTACTCTCCATAGTATTATGTTAAAAACCGCCATTTTTTTGAGGCAGGTAAGCAACAGAATTGAAAACAAAAACAGAAAAGCATTTAGTAATTTGTTGCAAAGCTGAATGAGAAATAATATTTAAATAAATAGGTCAAAAATAAACCATAGTAACAGAACTTATATTCCCTTTCAGTGCTACTAGATTGGTGATTGTGTTTGTGTAGGCACCAACTGACAATACAAGTTTTCTAAACTTGAACAATATACTGTACATCTCTGGTGTTTGCTTTTCATAAAAAAATATCAGAATGACCACGAACTAAGACTGTCATCAGATGAGAACTGACATTAGTGTGCTATGCTACAAGCTTAAACATGTGACTGAGATGTGTGTCATATAGAAAGGCATAATGGTAATACAATAAGTCACAACTGCTGTCATGTTAACAAAAGTTTTGTGGGTGCATGAACCTCATTTACTGTACCTTTTTAAATGGAGTTCTCAATGGAAACATGTTCTGACATAATGCTGTAGGTTGGCTGTGTCATGTTTTCCTTCTCATACCCTATGTACATCATATATAAATAAATCCTAAATGATATTTATTCAGCAAATGTACAAAATATTAGGGATGTCTCACTGGCACTGAACTGCAGCCTCTTTTGCAAAGTACATCATCATCAGCAGAAGTGTCCCTTATATTTTGTACATGCAGTGTGTTTTCAACAGTCATGTTTCCACGAAAAAGACACAGAACCTCTGTTATGTGGAAAAGGCAATGTTTTAGCCTTTCATAATTGAGACATTTTTGTGGTGCATGGTGGTAAATTCAGCTATCTACTAAAGCAGGTTTAACTCCAGATTTGGCGTCAGTTCACCGTCAATTCGGATAATAATAAACGTACCCGTTCTGCTAACTGCTAAAGCATTGATTTTGTCTTCCTGAATTGACTGACTTGAAAGTAAACTCACTCACATTACTGATACAAGCAAAAGGCCTTTTTAAACTGTGATTCTTAACTTCATAGTTAGGAGTAACCAGTAGCTCCTCAGCTCACACACAGAAAAAGAAAAAATATTACAGACCCAACCTCTCTGCGTGTTTCAGTTAGCGCAAAGCGAACGAAACACCCAGAGGGAGGTTGCCAGCACTCGAGCTCCCCCTAGTCCACGTCTGACGCGTCGTTGTCCGATAAATGGTAGTTTGAACCTTTGACTCGGATGTATTCGACCTGCCGTCCCTCATCTGAATCAGAGGCACCGCAGGAACAAAGCTGGTTTTCAAACAGCGCTTCAATCTCCTCCAGACGCCGGCCTTTGGTCTCAGGCAGGCAGCCATAGACGAAGAAGAAACCCAGCAAAGCCATGCTGGAGTAGAGGAAGAACGCTCCTAGGAAGGCGAAAAAACAAAAGACCACACCGTCACTAAGCACGGCCACTGAAATACGATAACTTTAAAGTAACATGCCCCTGTCAAGTGGCATTACAGCAGGTCTAACACAAGAAGGCAATACTAACGCACCTAGAAACAAGCATTCACCCAGTAATGTAGTGACATATGCGTAATGAGATTTCCTGGCCACTGTGATCTCTATTTTCTCCTTGTCAAAGCAGAATGACATTTTGAAGCAACAACCAAGTGTGCATTATGCTAAATACCATCACCATTTCTCATAAACCGGATGAATGGATGAAGTGACAATCATTAACCCGCTGCCTCTCAGGATGCCTCCACAATCACCCCCAATGGATCGATCGCTAACTCCCACGAAAGGTCAGTTCCTTCCTGTCTGAGGAGAAACCTGCTGTTGAGCCACACTGACTAAGGAGGTATGGAAGAAGGTTGCGCAAAAAAAAAAAAAGGTTGGCAACACCTCGGAGGGGAACCAGTCAGCTGTTACCTCCTTGCAGGTCTTGACGTAAGTTAAGGATAAATGCGTGTTACACACGATCTGCTGAGGGGGTTGCGTAAGGGTTGGCATAACTGGATGAGGACTGGCAGTATTGATGGCTGATAGTAACTGTTTCTGCCACTGTGTTTGATTGAGTTTCCTTACTTTGTCTCTTTACAAAAATAAAGAGTAAAAGCTGTAAAGGTAATTGGTTTGCTCAAAATGATGACAACAACTGACCGTAGTAGGTGAAGACCTGAGCCAGATGGAGGAAAGTGAGCGACACCAGGATGTTAAAGGTCCAGTTGACTCCGGCAGCGCAGGCGTTCCCTGTGCTCCTCGCCCACAAAGGATAGATCTCTGAGTTGATGGTCCATGGCATGGGACTCATTCCTACAAGAGAGGTTAGAGATTACTTTATGAGGACAACAAGACAGACAACCTTGTGAGGCAGCTGGATTCGCCAGATCACAAGATCATGCGAGAATCCATCTTGCCGGGCTCCAATCTACAGTATCCGTTTGTGGCCACTACAGTGGTACCAATGGACCAATCAACGTCGTTTAAGGAAGTACTGGCAGCTACGGGGGTACCAATGGGCACTAGGTGTAACAAAGCAATAAGACACTGTTCATTAAACTGCATTAAACTAAATATTAAAATAACATTAAAAGACAGCCTTGCTGGGGGCTCTGTGAGGATGTACCCAGGCACAGGGGTGATTTGAGCTGAATGCTAACATCTGCCAAAATGTCACCACAAGGCCAATTCAGTAGCTGCTCTGGATCATTCAGTCGTATGAAAATCTTCCTCAGCAGATGAAGTTTGTCCAGTTGGAGATCAAGTTGTTCCAATTTCCATTTTTCTCAGAGAAGTCCGTAAAGTGCTGCTGTCTCTAAGATCAGGCATGAACTTTACATTTCAATGTTTAGGCCAACATGGTCCAGAAGTTCTTAAAGTGTTAACGAAAATAAAAACATCTACATTTGCATGATGCATTTGCTAGATTGTGTGAGATGATTGAAAGCTCTACAACAGCTTGTTAATGGACCCTGTGGTGAGACTGTTCTCTCCAAGGTCAAGAAAGAACCTCCCATCTCAACTTGCATATTGTAGCGTTAAAGTAAATTACACTAACACCACATAACATTTGGTGTTAAAATGAACAAAACCTGATTTTAGATTACCAAACATTAATACTGTAAACTCTTAGATGATCACAAAAGCTAAATCACATACAGTGTAGAGACAGAAAACAATGCAGGTTCAATCTCTTACCAGGAGCAAAAGCAGCCAGGTAGAGC